CATTCTTTTTTGAAGTTAATTTTTTTTCTTAACCCATAATGGAGTGCAAATTACAAATCTAGTTAACATAAATTGATTGAGGAAGGAAATTCACTGTTTCCCTCCCTACAAAGCACTTTTCTCTAGAATAATGCTTTTTTTAAAAAAAAAATTCAAAGGTTTAGTTTTTTTTTAATTTATCCTTTAATGGGTTTGCTTATCTTGGTTTCATAAACCAGGTTATAAGTTTTGTAGATTAATATGAGTTGTCTTTAGACCCGTTAAGTTGACTAGATCATATTGGGTCAACCCCCATATAATTTAGATAAGCTCATAGATTATTTAATTATGAGAACAATTAAAAACATGGATATGTAAAGCTGATATAGAACAAAAAAAAAACACTAAAGAAAACTAAACGCAAAAAAGAAAAAAAAAGAAGCTAGAAATTAAAAAAGAGAAAGGAAAAGCTAGGAAAGAGAGAGAATTTAGAATAGTAATAATATTTTGAAAACTAAACGCAAAAATAAAAAAATAATTTGATGTATTTCTAAATAAAAATATTTTGAAAAGCAATCGCTATCACACTTCCAAACACCTTTAGAATCCACTAGTTAATAAAAAATTAATAAAATAATAAAAAATTAAATTCAGTAATAAAAATAAAAAAATACAATATCTTGAGTTTGAAATAAGCATAATCTATAATAAAAAAAAAAAAAGAAGTACTCGTGTCTCGGATCCAGAAACCCTCAATTCTCCTCCTATGCGTATCCTTCCTCCTTTTCTCTCTCCCCCTCAGAGCATCTCCAACCGGAGAGCTAAATTAAAAAAAAGCATCCTTTTAACTTTTTTTTTCCTTTAACAATTCCAACAGCATAGGTAAATGAATAGCTAAAATAATTATTCAACCTATACAAAGCCATTTTTATATATTTCTATAGAGATGGCCAAATAAAATTACTGTTGGCCATGACTATTTTTATAGTTGTTGGCCAATAATTCTTTTTCCTTTAAAAACAAATGGAAAGAAACTTATAAATTTTAAAATCTTGTATTATGCCTCACTCTTATCTCAAATTTAAAAGAACAAGAATCAATTATTCTCCGGTTAATTAATAACATCGGTTGTGTTAATTAGCTGAAATTAAAAGGTACGTTTATTTAAAAGTTTTTTATTTTCTCTTTTATATCTGTTAATTTTTTAGACCTTTTGTTGTTAATTTGATATTTGTAATGATTTTTTTTTTTGTTATTTTATGTTTTTGATATGGGTTAAGGAAGATAATTTTTTTATTTATATTGTTATCTTTGACAAAATTGAGAGGAAGTAATAATAATAGTTGATATTGATAAAAAATATAGAGTGACATATTTAAAATTTATTTTTGATTATCTATTTTAATTTGATGTTAATTATAATTTATCTTGTTGAAAATGTAATTAAACCAGTATATCAATCCTCTTTTAGTTCCAAAAAAAGATCAAATTATAATATTAGAACAAGTAGGAGGCAATGCTTATTATTAATTCACATGTATGGAAACTATAAAATTACTAAACATTGAATGTGCGCTTCTTTTACACTCTCTTATAAGGTTTTAACTTGATTTTTTTTTTAATGTAGATGGATTCAAATTTTCCAAACTCTTTTACCAACAAATTTTCCAAGCTCTTTTACCAACTTTCATATGAGTGAGTCATAAAATATTCTTTTTTCAACCAAGTGATTTTAATCAATTAATTGATGACTTAATATACTCGAATTTAAATGTTCATACAATAAAAAAATCATAAAGAAGTAAAAAAATTTCACTAGAGGAAGATTGTTTACTTGTCTCTACATGACTAAATACAAACAAAGATCTAATTATAGGAGTTGAAAAATAAACAAAATAGTTCTGAGCTTAAGTACATGCTTACTTTGTAGAGAATAAAGGAAACTTGAATAATTGTTCCCAAATAATCTTAAGTAGATGACAAGAAATAAATAGAGAAGTCGGTAAATTTGTTGGATTTGTTACTTAAATTGAAAATTATCAACAAAGTGGAATGACCAAAGAATGAAGGGTAATTTTAATATTCATTTTCATGTTAGATTGTTTAGCATATATTTTAACATGATTTAATTTCTCTAATTTTTTACCAGATTAATGATGTTCAATAAATGTATGCTTCTTGTGTTGGTAAATGATTTCAACTAGAATATTGTTTGGTTATCTTAAGAAAAAAAACCTAAATGGCAATTTGAGTGTGCAAGTCAACATCAAAGGTCAAACAAGAAATAAAACAGTCATATCAATTCAAGTTCGGCTTCATCAACTCCATCTACCCCTGATTCTGTTAGTTTAAAAGAAGACAGTGAACCGTTGATTTATCAAGATAGACCAATTGGTCAGAAAACTGTAAAGGAACGACTTAAATATAAGTAAGGAAAGATAAAGTTGGGGATATTTTAGTTGAAATTGAGGATCAGAAGAAATAACATAAAAAAATCATGTTAAAGCAACAAGTTATAATGATTCAACAAAGTAAAAAAAAAAAAAAACAAGAATTGGATAGGATTGAGAAAGAAGAACTAATTATGAAAATGAATATTTCTAATTTGGATCCAATTTCTGCAACACATTTTCAAAATAAAAGTTAGAAATTATGTAAAAGAGGGGTTTTAATTTTTAATTAACTAGATTTATTTATTGTTTAATATAATATATTTTTAATTAAATATGCAAATATTTCTTGGTTATTTTAAATATATTGTTATAAAAGTGTTATCAATTCATAATACTTTTTTGAAGTTCTTCTAACACTTAATAATAATAAGTAGGATTAATTAACTTAAAAGATAACAATTATAATGAAAAAAAACATAAAAAACTTGAAATTTATGATAACATAAGAAGTTCAAATCTAATGATTATACTCGTTACCATATTATTCTCATAAATGTTCAACCAAATCTTCTTGTAGTTGAGAGCTAGTTGCTCTATCCCTAATTTGATTATGAGTTTGAAGAAAACCATGTAGTTCTGGTATTTCAACATGTGACACTAATATAAAAAAATTGACTTTATATTCATGGTCAAATTCAAGATTCATTACTCCTTCATCCTCAATAATCATATTATGCATTATTATGCAAGCTTTCATAATATTTGCAAGCGTTTCTTCATTCCAATATCGAAAAGGTCCACGTACAATTGCAAAATAAGATTGGAGCACCTCAAATGCCCGCTCCACATCCTTTCTTGCAGATTCTTAATTACTTGCAAAATATTTTTTCTTTGCTCCTAATGGCTTTAGGATTATCTTAATAAAGGTTGGCCAGTTAGGATAAATCCCACCTGTTAAATAGCATCCCATTGTATATTCATGCTCATTAATTATATAATTGACAGGAGCAGTACGACCTTCAACAAGTGCAGTAAAGATAGGTGACTGATTAAAAACATTAATATCATTTAATGATCCAGACATTTCAAAAAAGACATGCCATATTCAAAGATCTTCTGAAGCTACCGCCTCTAGAATTATAGTTGGTTCACGATAATGACCAGTGTACATCTCATGCCATGCAATCAGACAGTTCTTTCTTTTTCAATGCATACAGTTAATGCTCTCTAACATCCTTGGAAATTCACACTACTCTCCAATTGATAATAATCGACAAATATCGGCTTTGTTTTATGCTCTTAGATACCAATCACCAAAAATTTGTATGATTGTTTTGATGAAAACTCTAAAACTTTCTATTACAGTGCTTTCTCCAATTCGAAGATGTTCATCAGTAAGATTTGTAGGAATACTATATGCAAATATTTTGTGAGCTGCCGTTATATTTTGAAGGCAAGATAAATCAAGAACACCAAGATCATTTGTCCTTTATTTGAAATATGGATTATGAGTTTCCACTGCATTTGTGATTCAAATAAAAAGACGACAACTCATCCCAAATCTTCTTCGGAATTGACTTTCAATGAATTTAAGATTTTTAGCAAAATAATTATTATATAACTTTAACTCATCTTCCTTTCTATTATGATTAACAATATTGTGACCAAGAATAGAGTTACGATACCTTATTCTTTACCCTTAATTATTCAATTCTTCTTTAACAACCATAGCGGTAGTAACTTGAAAAGTGAACATAGGAGTGTCATCATCAAAATCAAAAGCATTACAAAAATTAAAATTAGAATGATTCATGATAAATTTTAATGAAATATAATAAAGATTGGAGAGAAAAAAATGATGAGAAAAAATGATGAGATATATGAGAATATTTATAGATGAATTACTTTTTTTAAATTTTGAAATCTTAAAATATTGATAGTTATTTTTTAAAAATTTAAAATTTTGGTGGTTATTTTTTCAAAGTTTGAATTTTTTTTTAAAAAATTTTAAAATGAAAATTTAAAATATTTGCAGTTTTTTTCGAAGTTTAAATTTAAATTTACTTTTAAAAAATTAAAATTTTAACAGTAACATATAAAATTAAAAATTAAAAATTAAAAATATTCATATAAATAAATTTTAAATTATATGACTTTCATATTGCTTCATTAATTTTATATTATTTTTATAAATTACTCATATTAATTATATAATTAATAACAACATGATTATATTATATATAAAATATCTAAATTAATTATATAATTATATTAAAATTAATGTGAAACGAAATATATTAAAATATAATTGATTTTTTTAAATAAATTTTTATCATTGAAATGTATATAATTAAAAAAGTTATATTTATCCTATTTAAAAAAATATTTTATTAATTTTGGCTCTTTAAATTTAATTTAGCATTTTGAGTGAAGATGCTCTTATACGTTCCCGTCTTCTTTCCCTCCCACCAATAAGGCCGCATCTACTTTCCCTCCACAAATAACACCCATAAAGAATTTCACCCAATTCCAATCCTAAAGAGTTTCTGTACTTCCATTAAATAGTTGGCAAACGATTCGAAATCCCAAGGAATGTGGATTTTGATAAAACTGAGTAGGAAATTTTTGAACTCCACGATGACGGGCTAGGATTTTCTGGTGCTGGAGGGGACAAAAAGCACTTGGATGCTCCAGCACTAGAGGTGAAGGAGCTAGCGGAGTTGCCAGAGCAGTGGAGGGAGCTAAGTTGGCGTGGTTATGTAAGGAGTTGCCAACGCATAAGCCAGCTACTATTGTGAGGATACTAAAAGGGCAGAGAAAATGGATGAGGTAGGAAGATGCCACTTTTATTATCGTTTATTGTACTCGAATTAGCGAAATGAGACTTGGTTTAGGATACTATTTTATTATCAAACTTATGTTTTAATTTTTTTTTTGCAGTGCTAATATTTTAGTGCCTGGTGTTTTATTTTATACCATGATTAAATGTTCAGATACTAAAAATTTATGGGTTGTGATATTAATTTAAAGGGGTTATTACTAAAATTTGGTATCATATGGGAAAATGATGGTAGAGATCTTGACTTGTGAAGTAGGTTGTCGTGAAGCTATATGCTTTTAGGATCAAGCTGGAGTTTTGTCTAAACCCCTAGATTGAAATAGAGAAAGATGGATTGTCATCACTGGGATTTCTTTTTTAATGTTAGGTGTATAAATAGATGGTGCAGTAGCTTTGGTATCAGTTTGATTTTGCATTGTCCACCAAGTTAGCAGATTACATGGGCAATGGGTAAAAGTTTGTGAAATGCAGGGAGATATTTTTATGATATTATCAGTCAGCTACGTGTTCCCACTGAATCTATTTTTCACATTCTTTTAGTTGCATATCTGATTATGACTGTTCAAAGTAGCCTGGAGGAATTGTGCAACATTTAGTGCAACATTTAGGTTACCAGTAACGACTGGGTTTGTACAATTCTAGTAGCCTGGAGGAATTGTGCAACATTTATGATGCAGTCGGGAGGTTACCAGTAACGACTGGGTTTGCACAATTATTTGTTTAGAGCTCTTGTGAGCAAACCGGGGTTGATTGCAGAATATTATCTTAAACATGTTGAGTTTATTTATCATAATTTGGTGACATGTGGACTTGAGGTAAATAAGTATATTTATGATGGTCGCATTTGGCTACATAGCTATCAAGATACAATAGATAAAGAAAGACTTGCATCGTTAAGGCAAGAGATGAAGCAAGCAGGAGTAGAGAAGAGATAAGAAGTGCTTATTTCCATGTTGAGAGTTTATGCAAAGGATGTAAATCTAGAGGAAGCAGAAAGGACTTGGCTCAAACTCATCCGTCTTGATGAAGATCACCCATCACAAGTTTTCGTATGTAGAATGAAAGTCTTTTCAAAGGCAGGAGAATCTATAAAATCATTGGAGACATTCAGGAAGATGCAAGAGGTTTTAAATTCATACAATGTTGCACTATATCATAAAATTATAGAAGTCTTGTATGAGGCTGAAAAAGTGGAGCTTACAGAGTTGCTTTTACAAGAGTTAGTTCAGGGTGGTATGAAGTCGCTTACTCCATCGTTTATTGCTGTAGTGTATATGTACCTTAATTTAAATTGACATGATAAATTAGGGTTGGCCCTCTCTTCGAGCCTTGAGAAATGTCGATCCAGCCGGAGTGTCCACATCATATACTTGGATTCTTTGGTGAAAGCTGGTAATCTTGACAATGTTGAGGAGATATTTAACCATGCACGTAATAACAAAACAATCAGTGTTCATGCCAGACCATGCAACACTATTTTAAGTGGATACCTCTCATTAGGATACCATGTAAAGGCAGAAATAATATATGATCTAATGTGCCAAAAGAAATATGATATTGAATCCCCATCGATGGAAAAGCCTGAGTCTGTTCTGATTTTGAGCAGGAAAGCTGTAAGAAAGCCTTCTATCCTCAAGCTTGGCAAAGAGCAAAGAGAGATATTAGTGGGTTTACTCTTTCAGTGGTTTGCAAATTGAATTAGATGGGAAGAAGCACGTGATTCAGTTTGAGTTCAATTAGAATTCTGTCACAAATTTATTTTTAGGAGACATTTACATGACCAGCACAATGAGTGGCTGCATCAATCTTGTAAGCTTGGTGATGATAGTAATACTGATGACGTCCCTTGCAGATTTTATACCATATCACACTCTTATTTTGAATTCGATGGAGACTAGTTCTGGCCAAGAGGCTAGCCTCAACTACCAAAGCTAATCCACAGGTGGCTGTCACCTCAGGTTCTTGCATGCTAGTAAATGTATGTGGTCATATAACATCATCAAGGTATATTATGGTGAAGCTAATAAGAAGTGTTAGTGGTCTTAGATGGGTTATCAAAACTTTGAAATCAAAATCTCTGGATCGCAGGGTGAGGAATAAAGGGGAAAGTGTTTTTGGATAGGTATTTTTGGAAGTGTTTCTACATGGTTTTGGAAACTGGTAGAACCTTATATCTTAGATGACTTGAAAGATTTTCTAAAAGTTGGTGATCATACCTTAGAGAATAATATGGCAGAATTTCAAAATATGAATTTTGATAGCGGGTTTGATTTTGATAAAGAGGCGTCTGAGGATGGTGATATGGACAGCTAATAGGAACTTTTGTGAACATACGAGGCTTTGAATGGTTCAACTCTTGTTTTCTGGGATTTGCTCTGAGACCGTCAAAGGTTGGAAATGATTGGATGTGAAACCCACATGCGTATCCACTTATGTTGTATCACTGTCAACAACCTCAGTATAGATGTTTATATGTATTGAAATTAGCAATTTGATTAAACTGGTTTTGAGTTTATCTCATTTTATTACCTCATTTATGTTCGGTGTGTTCAAGAGTATCATGTTTAATTTCAACGTTGTTGTGGTTTATGTCAAGAGTTTCAATCTGAAAACCTGTTTCTCCACTTGTGATGTCATCTCTCTAAACTTTTCTGGAACTTAAAGCGTTAATGGTGCTCCTGCTTTTCAAACTTTAGTCGGGTGTGCTATTCAGAGACCTATCTTTTTGATAAAGCTATATTCACTGCAACTCTCCCAGTCAAAATCTTGCGATGAACTTCAAGTATATGGATTTTATAACGGCTTTGTTGCAACAGATATGCCTTTTATAGCATCCCTGCCACTCACACACACACTCCATTGCACAGACGCACGTAAACAAAAGCCTTGACGCACACACCTTCTGATTTTTCTCCATAACTTTTCTACACGGCGCCACCATCATGATAAAAGGCGCTTCAGTCTCGGCAATTCACAACCTTCCAAGCACGATATTGATGGAATCTCTGATTAAGGCAAGGACAAGGCATTCGGATTGGACTCAGGAGAGGATAAAGGATCAAATTTTCTCCTTTTCTTATTTTCTGGTTTCCCAGTCTTTAATTTATCTTTTGAAACAACAATGCAAAGTATAAGAAAGGAAAGGAACTGGTGATGGCGATGCCATTATTTCTTTTGTTTTTGTGCTGTTTTTTCTTCTGCATAACCTTCATGCGTGTAGTAGCGTTGGGCCGTTGGCGATATGTGTTGTAGCATGCATGTCTGCTTCTTTCTGCACCTCGGTATATTTCATTCTGGATGCGCTGCGCTCCTCGTGAAAAAAGGCACTTCTGTATATTTAACACATACGGCATGTTTTTGTACGCATAACACAAAACTATTGAACATGAAGATTGCTTAATAAAGGATAATTAAACATTGGAAAACTGGGAAGATGATGTGAAGTTTACAGACTCAAGCCTTGCTCGTGCAACCTTTGCTTGCAGGTCTCCGGCAAGTTAAATATCGCGGAATATATTTGAAAATATTTTATTTTAAATTAATATTTAAAGTATTTTTATATTGTTTTAATATTCTGATTTTATTAATATTAAAAATAATTTTAAAAAATAAAAAAATATTATTTCGATATATTTTTAAATAAAAAATATATTAAAAAGATTATTATTATAAAATATTAAATAGGCTATCTCATTTTATTTATTGATCGAGATCGGAGGGGGTGAAATCAATCCGAGCAATGTGGGTTTTCTCGTTTTATAATAGCATTTGTTTATCCAATTTGCAAAATACTTTTAGCCCTTTGCATGAGTAAAAATGATTGTGAAATTTACCATTTTAAAATTGTGTGGACCCACGGCCAGTCGGATTTATCAAGTAATAAATAGCTTTCTAGGTGAGATGATATATTTCTTTTTTCCCGAAAAAAAAGGAAAAAAAAAAAGAATAAAAAGAAAAGGATATCCTTCTCCTTTTACAATTCCAGAAACACCCTTACACAGCTGCCTTGCATTGCATGAGAGGAGACTCGCACTCTCAAAACAGCAACAACAACATAAAAAAAAAACAAATAAAGAAAGAAAGAAAGAAAGAAGATTGGTGCCGAGTGAGTGAGTGGGTTTCCAGTAAGAGAATAAAGAAGAAATGGTGTCGGACTCGGACCTCGTGACTCGGCTCCGTGAAATTCTCGGGAGGTCGGACTTGGACACGGCCACTGCCGGCAGTATACGGCGGCAGTTGGAGGAGGATCTCAGCGTTGATTTATCGGAGAAAAAGAAGTTTATTAGAGAGCAAATTGATACTTTTCTCGAAACCTTTAATGGAGGAGAAGGTAAATCAGAGAATGTGTCAGAAAATGAAAATACCGAAAACGACGCCGTTGATGACGAGGAAAATGAAAACGACGGCGTTAAAGAAGAAGAGGAAGAGGAAGAGACTGAGACAAAGGAAAGCAAAGGGTACCTTTTTCTTTACTTATATATATGGTTAAATAAGCAACATAGTGTGTAATGAATTAATCATGCATGCATGTAGAGATTGCTTGCAAATTATTTTTTTGGGTAAGAAATAAGGTTTTTTTATATATATATATATTGGAAATATAAATTAGATATAGAGATCGTTTATCGTTTATGGACAAATTGCTTGGCTGTTTTTCTTTTTATTGGGATATAGTTTTTGTGGTTCCATTATGTAGTTCTAATTAGGTCAAGAACTTTGTGTCTTATGAGCTGTGTACGCTAGTTGCTTTTCTATGCATTTTTTGTAGAGTGTATGTTATGCTTTGTTTTGTAAGAAAATGAAAGCATAAGTTTAATCGTGGGCAATGAATAATGTGACGCTACTTAAGAGATTATTGATGATTAAATTGGGGAGGATATTGGATTGGAAGCAAAAGTAGATTATTTGAGTGAAGTTAGTATATGATGTTTTGGTGTGTGTTGGTTCAATACGGGGTAATGAGTATGAGAGAGGTAGTCTTTTTGTAGATTTTAGTAATACATTCTAGAAATGTCATCCTCTCTTTTATGTTTTTAAATAAGTAATTTTTAGATGGCTAATTAGTAAAGGACGTGTTTTCTCTACTTTTAATACTTAATAATTTTCGTTGATTATTTCTTCTTTTAGCTTTTGCACTGGATCTATTTGGTGTTTTAGCGGGTTTATTTTGAATACTAAATCTTTGAGTTTCATTTCAGAGGCTTGATTAATTTTCTGTTCGTTTATTTTCTTATACAGAAAGAAAATAGGTGTGTGTTTGCTGCCATTTTAATTTAATGCATGTCAGATATCCAATTATCCCAGATACCAGTTGCTTATTAATCATGCTAGGCACTCTTGTGTTATCTATCATTTAGGTCAAACAAGACAGAAAAAGTGAGGAAAAGAGGTGGTTTTGCTAAATTAAGTAGCTTATCTCCACAGCTTCAAGCAGTTGTTGGAGTGCCTGAATTGGCCAGAACTGAGGTTTGTTGAAAATGATTCATTTCTGGATATTGGTTTAGGTGGTAGTTCTTGGATCAGGTTCTCACTTGTGTTCTCCTTACTTTTGCTATCCCAGGTTGTGAAGAAGCTTTGGGCCTATATCCGCGACAACAACTTGCAGGATCCAAAGAATAGGAAAAAAATAAAATGTGATGAAGCATTGCGTGCTGTCTTTCATGTAAATTCAATTGACATGTTTCAAATGAACAAAGCCCTGTCCAAGCATATTTGGCCATTAACTGGAGAAGATGGTACGTTCTTTAATAAGTTATCCTCTTTTGTTCTGTTCTGTGGTAGGACAATGGGTGGTTAGTTGCTGCTGCTTGACAGTAGTATCTTATTGCTTTCGATGTGTAAGGTCGTTTAGGATGTTTATGCATGCTTTTATCCTGTTCTAATTATGAATTACTTTGTGTTTCTGTTAGTTTAGGAAATCTGGTGTATTTTGCTTTGGCAATTAAATCCAACAATGTAATTTTTATCTTCCAAAAAAAACAAAAAGCTGATGGGGCAGAGCATACCTTAACCTTATACTCAGATTTTATCTCTTACAAACAATGGGCAGGGAAAGTGCTTGCATTAAACTCTGTCTGGTTTGACAATTTTTTTATCAGATATTTTGACTATGATTTTTTTATTTCCTCTCCTGGGTTGATGTTACTGACCTACTCCCTTTTATTGGCTGTGGTGTAATACTTTGTTATTCCAGGGAAACTAATCCTTTCCCCCGGTATCTTGACTACATTAGGATGTATATTTTCTGCACTTTCAACTTCAACTCCTACAAACAGGCTTTGAACTTCTGCTTTATTTCATTACATCACAATATAAATCTTCTTAACTATTTACCTTTAGAGATCTCTTCTTAATTTTTATCAGATGATTGTTTGGCTGTTATATTAACCGATGATATCATTGAACCATCAGAAAGTGTAAAACAGAAAGAAAAATGTGAAGACAGTAATGATTTTGGGAATGAAGGAGACAATGGAGGGGAAGAGGAGGAGGAACAAGAAGAGGAGGAAGAGGCGGAGGAGGAAGAGGTAAAGAAAGAGAGTAATGGAAGAAGCAAGAAAGGACGGTGGGTTTCTCGTACACCTTTTTTCTTTTTCCTACAAGTGAATTTCTATTCTTGTTTGCCATTATTTTGAGTTACTTAATGATTCCCTACTTGACAGCGTCGGAATTACCCATGCTCACTTTAACTTATGATATGGTTACTTTGGGGGTTGAGGTTTTCTTTATCACTAAATGCAACTTCACTTTAAAATATCACTACTGAAAATAATGAGGTGGTTAGCTTGCCCTTAGACAAATTCCTGCCATTTTATGGACTAAAGAAATTTTGGTTCAGGTTCTCAAAATTATTAATTTTCATAACCATTCTACATGTTTGAGGTTTTACTGGAGTGGATGATATGAGGTTGTTTGTGATTAGTGGTCCTAGACTGATATTCAGAAATTTGAGGACTAGCATGACATTCTTATTCCGTCAAATATAATATTTGTGGTTGTTTTATGGACTAAATAATCTTTATCTTATCCAGTAAATCTACCAAGGTGGATGAAAATGTTAAGAAAAGAGGAGGCGGCTTTACTAAATTGTGCAGTCTTTCTCCTCAACTTCAAGACTTTGTTGGTGTTCCTGAATTGGCCAGAACTGGGGTATTTTAACAGATGAATTGATATTCTTTATGTTATCAGTTGACCTGAAGAATGATAGTTTAAGATTTTTTTTTCCTTCTAAATCATAGTCCATACTTGTTTCTTCCCGTCCCCTTTTGTTTTGGTAGGTTGTGAAGAAGCTCTGGGCCTATATCCGGGAGAAGAATTTGCAAGATCCAAAGAATAAGCGAAACATAATATGTGATGAATCACTGCGTGCTCTTTTTAATGTTGATTCTATTGACATGTTTCAAATGAATAAAGCCCTGTCCAAACACATATGGGCTGTCTGTGAGGAAGATGGTACGCACTTAATGAGTTTTTCTTTTAAATTTATTGAACGTTAAGGCAAGCCCTTAGGGTAATATTGTCCAGAAAACTTAGCTCCTGTGAGGAAGATGGTACGCCCTTAATGAGCTTTTCTTTTAAATTTATTGTACATTAAGGCAAGCCTTTAGGGTACTATTGTCCAGAAAACTTAGCTCCTTTATCTTCACTATAATAAAATACTTTTCTTTGGCAATTTGTTACTTTAATTTCAAATCAAATTAAGTTTTTAGCCTCTGTATTGAAAGACTGTGTGCTTCAAATTGATTCATCAATTTAGAACTGGGGATCTCACAAAAACCTTGCATTATCTAATTTTTTGAACATCTCAAAGTTGCTTGATCAAAGTGATAAAAGACATGTAAACCTTTTCTTTTATATGTAATGTTTGCATACTTCCTTTTCAGTTCATGAATATAAGGATAAGGATTGGTGATTCAGCTTCTTTTAACTGACTTTCTATTAAAATGAGAAAAAAATACTTGGCTGGTGTATCCTTTAGGCTGTATCCTGTGGATAAAATTGTCGTTACATGCATTTAGGGATTGGATGTCTGGTTGCCACTTCTTAAAGATGAAGAGAAAACTACATTGCTGGGGGGAGAGGCAAAACAAACATGATAGAATGTGTAGCATAGACATGGCAAACATATATCCCATGTTATGTCTGTGTTTTCCATCCATTGCAGTTCCTCTTAACTTCCAGGCAATGTGGCCTTTATTATCTTAGAAGTTAATCCTAACTTTTGACAATATATATCTCAGTTAGAGTAAGCTGGTTCATCCTAGGTTTCATAACTTCTAATGGTTCTATTACACTTATGTTAAGTTAGTGCTCTCCTTGTGAAGTTCATACAAACTACAGCTTGAGAGCGACTCTAATTTTTATTAATCCTTGCCATTTTACATGATAGTTTTGTAATTTGTAATTTTTGTTCCCATCTCTAAAGAGGGCCTCTTTTATCAATTGGTGATTGGAAGCCTTCATAATGTTTAATTTTAAGCTTTTGAATTGGTTTAGTAACTCATATCTTTTAGATGAATGATTAGAACATTTTAGGGATATCCCCTTTGACACATGTTGCAGTTTGATATAATCAATGTACATTTTCTCCTTCCAAACTGCTTCTCTTCTTTTTATTTTATATAGCAGTTTTTGTTAACTTTGATTAATGTGTGAACGTAAATGGTCAAAAATATAACTTATTAGGTTTCAAGTTGTTCAAGAAAGAATTGATGGATCAACAATGAGGAATAAATTTAAAGTATTGTTGGAATCCTTTCTATGAGCCAGGAACTTCTTTCTCCTCATCATATTAGTAAATGTCAACTACTTCTTTCTCTTACTTTGGTCGGCTCTAGTTTAAATGCAGAGGATCCCAGCTAGTTTGGGATTAAGGCTAGTAAGTTGAGTATCATAGAGCTTAATGAATTTAGGTTTTTTATGCACCATGGCCTTTCTCATTAATTTTTATTCATTAAACTTTTAATTTTATCATATTGCAGTTGTCAAAAATATGTTGTGCAAATCTCGTTTGTTGTGTTGACACAAAATCACAACTCAAGTATTCTCTAGTATCTGGGAATCATGAGAATGTTCAAATTGCTTAAAGAAAATGTTTTATCCTGATCTTGTAGCTCCAAGCAACTCTTCACCAAAGGAAAAGGGGGCTAAACAAGGAAGAGAAGAAGGTGAGACTAGTGACTAATAATGCTTTTAGTTTCCTAGTAGTTTCACAACCTACTCACATAAGAAAAGTGAGGATGAATTCTGGAACTCTAATAATGACAATCTGTTATTTCTCACTATTCAGATCCTGATGAGCCTAAACAGAAAGAAAAACGGCAGAAGAAAGGTGCTTATGGTCTCCTTGCTCCCCTTCAAATCTTGGATGCCTTTGTCAAATTTTTTGGCACTGGTGAAAATGCATTTTCTCGATCTGATGTGTGAACAAGTTGGTTTGATGAACTATCTTTCACAGACACTGTTTTGCCAACTTCAATTAATTGATCTGCTGACAAGCATGTTGGCAAAGCTTGCATGATATCATGTTTAGAGAATAGGCTTCAGGCTCGACACAGGAATAATGCAAATATAGATACACTACAGAGAATAAATTGAAGTGAGGACTGTTAATAACAAGAGAGAGAGATGCTTTTGGCTTGGTAACGTTCATATTGACAGAGCTTGCATTAAGCTTGAGCTTGGTAACATTCATATTTTGTGCGCCAATATTCAATAGACATAATTGTGTGTCTGCATGCATGCATGTGTGTGTTTCAGAATCATCTCTTCATCCTATACTAGAAAGCTTTTGAGTGGATGGTGTCATCAGTTACATGGTTTATGTATTTTCTGTACAATCTAGCCCTGTGTTTTCATGAATTTCTCTTCATTCTATGATCTTTATTGAAGTATATTGAGTGGAGGGTGTCACCAGTTATATGGTTTATCAATTTCTTATAGAAATCCAGCCCTGAGTAGGTCTCCATCATGATAAGGAAATCCCAAGTTTGCTACAAAATTACAACATGCACCCGCACCCTGAAAATAACCAGAGTGCCAGTAATTTGAAATTTTCTAAATCTGAATTGCAAGGCATGAATAAACAAACATTTGATGCACCTGTTTTTCAAAAAGAGAAAACAGTGATCTTTCAATCCATTCTCTTATTTGTCTTCTTTCATATGTTGTGTTAATGAAAAGAGAGGCAAGGATAGCTGAAACTAATTTATGAATGCAAGTCACAGCTTAAGAGGCTGAATTTCAATGTTGATATCTGAAGTTAACCCTGAGCGAGTTGGATAGCAATGACACTGCTGAATTTAGGTCCCGTTCCATGAAATTTTGAATTTTTTTTGGCTTATTTTTTTATGTTTTCAGATCATTTTGATGTGTTGATGTCAAAAATGATTTTTTAAAAAATTAAAAAAACATTATTTTGATGTATTTTAAACGAAAAGCACTTTGAAAAGCAACTACTATTACACTTTCAAATACATGCTTAAACTGCTTGGCCGAATACACTTCCAGTTATGGCTGTGTCTGTGACCCTTCCGGTACTACCAAACATAGTATGTCCTTTGAAGTATGGCTATGTTTAATTTTTGTTGTGATTATTAAGCTCTGTACCTTTTTTTTTCCAGCTTAATGATAATCTCTTGTTGTATCATACTGATGCATTTGGTAAAATTATCAGCTTTATTTTGTCTTTGTTGATTTAGACTTCTGTCAATTTCAGGCAGCTGCACCTTTATCATACTGAGATTTTTCTTGTTTTTTCTTAAGGATCCTGCTGATAAGAGGAGAATTGTTTGTGATGACAAGCTAAAGGAACTATTTGAGGTTGACTCCTTCAGTGGCTTCGCAGTCTCAAAGCTCCTGTCATCTCATTTTATCAAGACAGAACAGTGAGTTGCTTATATGTACATAACTTGAGCCCATCGAAAGTGGGAAATTTTGCTTGAGTTGAATTTACTCTTCCATTTCGCACTGGCAGCCTGTATGCTCTTTGTTGAAGGAATGGAAATAGTTTTGCAAAATAGTAGTTCTTTTTACTAATTTTTCTTATAGGATTTCTAATTTGCATCCCCCCCCCCCCCCCT